CCCCAAAACCCCAAAACCCCAAAACCCCTTAAAGAAAGTAGAATAAAATAAAGGTAATAGTAATAATATAGAGATATATAAAATGCCTAAAAAAGGAACTAAAGCCAAAAAGGAAAAGAAAGACGTCGAGGAGACCAAGGAAGCAGTAAGTCAATAATGCCATGTTTTTTAATATATTATGTCAGGATGATGAGAGATTCAAGATCAACATCCCCGAGCATAACTGGATTAGATTAAGAGTAAGTACCTCATTCAGCCATAATATGGCCAAATATGATATTCAAAAGATTGAATGACAATGATTCTTATAAATTTCTGTAGCTTAAACTAGTAAATGCCCCTTCAGAGTTCAACTATTTTGATGAGCCGATGAAAACCAATGAGAGAATATTAGAAGTCAAGTAAAAAATAGTCAATTATCATGGGAGGTAATCATTGAATTTGCAACTTACATTATTTAGAATCGATCAAATCTAGATCTTTGACAGGGACCCAAACGCTGTTCTAACTTCTGGTACAATGGTGGGAGATGATTCACACGACAGACCAAAATTCAACGAGTAACTTATTCCTATCATTTAATAGCACTCGGGTATAGATATTCAGATGTGAGAATGACATTATTTGAGATCTTTAAGACGTACGGTGAGCCAACTAAGAAGCAAGCTAGGGAATACACCTTATACTACGACTTCCATCCATTTAATAGCACTGAGCCCATACTCTTAGCTTTGATGGTCAAAGACCCAGAGACTAACAAGACTATCTGAGGCAGCAATGACATTCGCGAATGTTGAAACTTATATAATAGAAAAAGTATTATGTAATGTCAGTGAAAGAGTATTTGTTTAATCGCCACTATCAAAACTCTTCAATACCTATATTAATAATTAATTTGTTAATATTTATAATATATAATAATTCTAAAAATGAACAAAGCTCTACTCGCTATAGTCCTCATCTCATGCATCTGTAAGTCAAATTTATCAGTAAACTACTCTTAGTCATGCAACAATACTCTTGCGCCTAACCATCCATCCTCAAGGCATTCAACCAACTTGATGCACAAGTTAAAGTTGATCCATTTGTAAACGCAGACCAAACTACTGTATTATATCTTAAAATGTTTCTAACAAAATCTGAACTAGCAATTGAAGAAATGCCAGAAGAGGAAACAGATATTCGTAGCCCCAAAACCCCAAAACCCCAAAACCCCATCTAGCAAAATAAAAGCATATTAATTGAGAATGTGAAACAAGTTTTAATTGAGATAAAAATAATCTTAAAAGGTAAAGCATCAAAAATGAGGGCCGAGCCGGGATTTGAACCCGGGACCTCTCGCACCCAAAGCGAGAATCATAGCTACTAGACCACACGGCCATTTCAAAGGTATACTGATAAATCCGGTACTTATATCTGGAGATAAGATTAACATAGGTCCTTTGAATATTATAGTAAGAGAATTTGTGTTATAATTGTTTGTATTCAAATTACTGCTCTTTTTAAATAATATAATATTAATGTCTAAAATGTCTGAAAGAGAGTCAATACTGGAAGATCTAGTTTAAAATCTGCAAGACAAGGTATTATAATCTCGCTTAAACGGATGAAATCAATATGCCTTGTAGGAGAATATTCATTAGCAAATGAGTTAAGATTCTGTTTTAAAGACCACTATTGAGTCTCAGCAGGTCAAGAAGGTATAAAGTGACAATGTGCCTATCTCTCTCAATAATTCCGCCCTAAATGAAAGTCTGGGAGCAATGAGCATGAATGACCTAGAATAAAGGGATCAATCTATATTTCCTACAGCAGAGTACTACCAAAATTTAAGAAAAACAAGTCAAGCTGAGTCTGAACTAGCAATTGAAGAAATGCCAGAAGAGGAAACAGATATTCGTAGAAAGATCAATCAAAAATTAATTAGAAAGTATTTTTATCTATTCTAATTATAATTTACATTCAATTTATAGTAAAAACTACTTCATGAATTTTATCGGAGAGGGAAACGGGACTTAAAATTCTCACTCTAACCATATTTTCAGCAAAGATGACTACTCTTAAACTGCAAATAAAATGATTTAGCTTTACGACAAGAGAAGTAGATCAGAGACGCCAGATAAAATGTCTGCTACTGAAGTGCTACTGAGAGCTCACAAGAAACTAGCAGCTTAAGCAGAAAAAAGGAAGTAATCACCTCACAAGATACTTGAAAAGCATTAATAGAGACAAGTAAGAATATTAAAAGTTAAATTATTTTTTGAACAGAAAAAAGCAGAAGAGTTGAGATCACTGATAGAATAATCGAAGAAAAATTGGTACGAAAAGATCAGGATTCGTCAGTAGATAGCTCGCAAAAAATGGCAAGAACTATTGGCTGAGAGAAAAGCCAAACTATAAGATAAACTTGAGTAGGCCGAGGAAAGACGCGAAAGTGAATTATAATCACTGATCAACAAAGCTAAGTAGGAGATTTAGAAAATAGATGAAACTAATTATATAGTCAAGATGACTATGAACAACATGAAGTTAGATTTAAATTTGAAAATGAATGAGACATAAGAGAGGAGAAACCAATATATGGAGGAGTAAATTAAGAGAAAGCAAGCTGATCGTGCATTAAAGGAGGAAGCAGCAGAAAAACGTAGATAAGAACTACAGAAGTCAACAGAGAATAAGTTCCTTACTAATAAGCAGAAAAGAGAGTAGGCTGATTTGAGAAGGAACATGATGATAGAATAGAAAAAGAGAGCTGCTTAGGAGAAGCAAAAAAGGATTTTAGTTTTATAAAGGAAAAATGACTTGGGAGATAAACTCAGTGATGTTATGAGTTTCGTAAATAACAGCGAATGCATTTGGGAGTTCCTTGGCAATGAGAGAGATTGGTAGGATCTTGGTGATTACTACAGTACTCGTGACGAGGATTTTATATTTGAATTGATTCAAAAAGACCACTTCGAAATTTAAAAATTAAAACTTAAAAAAGACGCTGAAATTTTGAATAAAATTATAGTTATTAATGATAAAGGAGAGATCTATTCTAATAAAGAATACATAGCTTTAGCAAAAAAGAATATTCAGAGATAAGGAAAATCAGAATTCGATTTATCTGATGAGGAAAGCATGTCTGATGAATACATAAATGAATGAGAATAGCATTTGACTATTACTCCAGAGAGGCGAAGAAGATAAAATAATCATTTTTCACCTCAATAAACTTAGATGGAGGAAGAATTAAAGTTTCATGATAGGTAGGATGACTCTTAATCTGAAGCTAGTGAGGATAAAGCATCCATACCCGAAGAAGCTCTCAGAGACGAAGATTGTGTAAAAGATGATGAAGATATAAAGGATTAAGATGTTCTGATGAATAACAACCAAAGTGAAATCTTCAATAATGAGCTGTAAACATATCATATGCATACACTAAGACTTAAGATGTCAATGAAGAGAAATGTATTAAAGAAAAATTTATCTGAAGACTTAACATGGGCTGATTTTCTAAAGAATGAAAGCTATACTTACCAATAAAATCCCTATCCTTAGATAAAATTAGGCTAAACTAGAAGCATGAGATCCACTCCAGAGAGAAGATAGGAAATACCCTCGGAGTCTGAGAATAATTAAACTATAAGCTCTGGCAACTAAACCTAAGAAGCTGAGATCATTCAAAATTAAAACTCTAAGAAAAAGAAAAAACATTAATAGCAAAATTAAACTTTGAATAACTAGCAAAATACTCAGAACACCTCAAGTGGAAGCAATTTATCAGAAAAATCGAGGATATCATCAGTCGTATATCCAAGTAAGAATAAAAAGAATCCTAAGAATCAATCTGGAACTAGCATCAATAATCCTAATTAAGAGCAAATCAAAGCATTAATGAACATGAAGAGATCCTCAGGTAGCAACCAAAGCTCAACTCAATCATTATCTATAAATACAGGTGATAACTCCTTGAATTTAGGGAAGAAGATTCCATCTCTAGACACTGAATCAGCAAGAAAAAGGTCAAGTAGAATGCATTCTTCTTCCGTTTAAGAGTCTTCAGGGACTAACATACAAAATCTCAATCAAAATAACAATGCAAATCAATCAATGATGGAGGAGAATAATACTGCTTATGAAAAGATTGCAGAGTATCAATATATGACTCATACTGGTTCATAGATGTCTTCACTTATTACTAATCCCAAGCCTGTTCCACCGTAGAGCAAAGTATTGCCAAAGAAACTTACTTTAAACGCAAATAAAATGCTATTCCCCATAAACCCTTAGAAACTATTGATAAAGCGACCTGGGAAAGAAGGACAATTTGGCAAATTCAAGATAATTGTTAAGATGGAGGATCTCAGTACATCTAAAACTTTAATAAATACATCAATAAACATGAGCAGCTCTCATATTCTGACAGAATCATCAGTGGATGAAAAACTTCCGCTGTAAAAGTCATTTATTTAGACTTTAGCTGCATAACCATTAGAATCTGAAATTAAGAAGGACTCTCCATTAGGTAAAAAAAGCTTATAGAATACTCCCTCTGATAATAAGAGAAAAGAAAGCTTAGATGAAAGTAATTAGTTGCAAATAAACACCAGTTCTCTAAATAATTCTGTGTCTATGGAACAAACTTCTGCTACAGGCACACCATAAACTTCTAGGCTACTTTAAATCCAATAAAAGTTTTGGGAAAAATACTAGAACTAAAATTAAACTTTAGAAGAATAAGCAAGCACATCTAATCTGAGCAAAAAGTATTAGGCAGTAATATAATAGCAACAGTTGAATAGCACAATCTAAAGTGACTCTAGTTAGTCTCCACCGAAAAGAGAGAAGATGCAAATTTCTACTTCGATTGAATCAGATTAGTAATCAAATTCTACAAATACCACAAGTATACTTTAACTCAATTATATGTCCAATCCTAGTCCTAATGAGATTGGAAATGTACAAATGAATGAACAAGGCTATAAAGAACTGATGATAAAATATATATTGACAGATAACATTCACTTGCTAAAGACAGAAGATAATTAGAAGACTGTGGCAGTTGAAGGCTAAGATGCAGATAAGGTTATTGATTACCTTGAGATTAATGAGCTTAATATTAAGTACTGTAGATTATGTGACTTAATTATTCCAGATCACATGTCTATTGAAGCTCATACTCAACTTAAGTCTCATAAGAAAACAAGAGACGAACTTGGTATCAAAGAAGTTGAAGATTTGTAATTTTCTATCATAAGTATGAATTCCCAGCCAGGGGATATAGAGAAAGAGCTCCTCAAAGAAAAAGAAAAAGCTCTGAAGAGAAAGGTTAAGAGAATAAAGACCTAGATGATTTCATAAGCGGTGAGTCATGAATCTGCTGCCTACAACCCAGGAAAAGAATACAATTCCCCAAATAAGAAAAGACTTCAGATATTATGCATAGACCTCGAAAAATAAGTCATTCCAATTATTAATAACTATGAAGCCTTGGAAAATACATTGAAAGAAATCATTAAGATCTTAGATCTAAGGAAATAGCCAGACCTCCACCTGATGAGAAAGCTAAAGTATATACCTATTCTAATTGAAATATGCAAAAGGATATCTGTTTGCCACAAGAATGAATTTAAGTATCTGGGCAAGATGCTGGACTATGTAATCAAAATCATCAACATTTTCTGTGGCTTAAGAGAAAACAGAAACTATATGCTTCAAACTAATAGGATGCTTGCTTTAATAGAGCTTCTAAATTGGTGTCTCAACAGACCTACTCAGTTATTCTACGGGATCATATTCATGCCAACTCTGTTTCACATTCTAACTTTGCATGTCAAACATAGAGCCCCTTATGAATGCTAATAAATGAAAGAGATGTTTGTTGAGTATTTGATCTGTTCACAGATAACTATTAAGATAAAATCAAAGTTCTAAATTATCAATGGACCTTTAGACCTTAGTGAAATGATGGGGCAAGTGCCACTATTTCTGCTTAAAAGCGCAGCATTTATTGAATCACTTACCAATATTTTGCAAATTGATGCAATTAATAGGCCAGTCTATGAAAAGAGTACTAAAATAGGGGAACACATAATCTTTGTGATCCAGAACACTGAGCTCTTTGGCATTATTCCTATGATAACGACGATATTACTCTCAAGAAACTAGCCTTTCAAGCCATCTTAAAATTATCAACAAATAGTTTCAACTTCTAATAAGATCTTACCTCAAACAATCCTTAGTCTTGCTATTACTTCAGTGAAAATTCTAAATAACGTATTGAGAATGGATTATAAGGCAGCTCAGCAAATGATGAGTGATTTTGAAATCCAGGAACAGCTATATCACCTATTCAACTACTTGCTATACTATACAATAGAGACTATTGATTAATAAGAAGATAGCAAAGAACTCCTACATGAGACTCTGCTTTTGATAGGCTACTTTACTTTGAATCACGAAAAGCATCAATAGATACTTTGCAAAGGGGAAAACACTTTAATTTAAAAATTATGCAATCTTCCATTCACATACTTCTGTGACAAGAAATTGAAAGAGATACTATTTCCAACACTGATATAAGTAAGCTATAAGAATGATAGATGTTTAGCCATTATGGATCAAGAAATTGCCATCAAAATGCTGGTAGATTTCATTAATATGAATCTAAAAGAAGAGCTACCTAAGATAGAGGAGGAAATAAATGACTATCATAGTATTAGTAGTCTAGGTGGTCATTAAATCAACGGTGGACTAGTAGATAGAAGAACCAGAAGTCCATCGCAGTCTAGCACGAGCAGTCAATGTTCAATGCAAATTGATATAATCAATGGAAACTGTCCATACTTACCTCTCTATATGAGATTCCCAAAGAAACTTTGGAAAGATGCAATATAATTTTACTCTTAGGTATTATGACAAATTACACTCAGCTAACTAATTACATATTAAATTTACTTAATATTCGTAAACACTCTTTCAATCCTATTTACTTCTTACTTTTATTAACAGGGGTTTTGGGGTTTTGGGGTTTTGGGGTTTTGGGG